CTAATAGTTTATTCCCTCTTACCTTTGGTAGTATAACACCTTGAAGTATCTCTCATTCAGCTCGGAAGACTTAGTCTTGAATTCTTGCTTCCGCCTAGGACACCGTTGTGAGATATTTGATGCTTCAAAATGAATTATTTTAAAGTGTGGACTACTAATTCAGTTGAACTTCAATGATTGATGGATTTTACAAATAGGTGACATCCACAATTGTTCTTGTCATCTCCTTAAGTTGCCTTGAGGTAATCGTGATGGTACGGAACTGTCAGAATATCAAAACAAACCCATTGAATTGGGGCATTGAATTGTGATCAGTTAAGTTTAGAACTCTGACATGATGCCTAAAATATGGTCGGATTTTAGTATCTACACGGACTTATTTGATACACAGAGCAAGTCCGAGTCTTGTATCCTGGACAACAAGCGCAGAGTCTACTGTCTCTTCTTTGAAGTGCTGATTTCCTACATCAAAGCGACCTCTTATTTGCTGTCTTTATGCTCTGGATGTTACAAGCCTTTCAACCCACAGCAATAAGTAATGAAAGGGGGACTAGTGTCTTACAATAACGAGGAGTCATTTTTTGCTTCGTTCTGGACTGTAGACGTTGTGAAATCTGACAGACTTTCATCACTTGTTAAGGATAATGTTTCTCAGCAGACACTTCCTGTCTTTCGATCATCACCCATTGGAAGTCTTATAGTAATGCCACTTGGTGATAATTTTGGTACTATGGTCACTTTTCTAAGGACATTTTCAGTTTCTTCAAATCTACTCCACCTTCATTATTAATTACACTTTTGAGCTCAAAGCTGTGATGATTACATTGTCCCACCTGTCTTCACCTTTCAATAATTCATTCATCCGTTAGTGGTATTTGAGCATTGAGGAGTGACGATTGAATTCAAAGAGTAGCTTTATTATAAAGACTAGTAATGAGGGGGAAAAAAATTCTCACTGCTATTGTATGGTTTTAGCTGGTCATAAAGTTGTCTCACAGTTACTATTTCAGCTTGCCTGACTGGTTTCCTCAACCAATCACTTTCACGCGCCTCTGACATGCGCCTTATCAATGTCACTTAATCACGAACCAAATAGCTATTCTAATGCATGCATGCGTATGCATCACAGGACAGTCGATATTTTGTCTGCCTTGTGTAGGTGGTGTCGGAGGTGGTGGCGGCACGGCGATGGGTGATGGGAGCTATGCGGCTATACCCTCATCTCGAGGTCCCGTGGTCAATCGAGTCAGTGGACGTAGTGGAGTGGACTCCGGTAACCTACTCTACTCTTCTTATAACGGCGGCTCCTCTCTTCGTGCTTCTGACGATCGTTTTGGTGGTGGTGGCGCCATAGAGGATGGTGATGATGTGGATGATGACGATCTCGCCATGCTCAGATCAGCCAATGTAGGTCTTCTCATAGTTGTAGTACTTGAACCATTTGTCTCCCTTGTTTGAGTAGATAAAATTTAATACGACTATTAAATGCCTCCCTCTAGGTGGCTCTTGCATGCGTAATTGCAAATAGTTTTCGTGGGATTCGATTTTGTTGTGAAATTTGTGACATGAAACAGTGTGTAGTGTGAAACGTTTTCTTTTCTCTCGCCCTCTCTCCCAAAAAAGAACATAGCTGCATGTGAAGTTGTAGTTTATTAGTGTGTTTGGTTGAGCGCACCACTTTACTGGTTAAAAGTGAGCAGCGGACTAATTTCAATTACTTTTCAATTGGTCAAATCCACATTTGATTTGGTGTCTCACTCCAC